CCCGTGGAGGGCCCCACGCTGAAGTAGGTGGATGCCCGAAGGAAGCTGTCACCCTCTGAGAAGCCTGCACCGGATCAAGCTCCTGGCAGGACCTGTGGCGAGAGAGAAGCCCACGCTGGAGCAGGTTTGCTGCTGGTGACCCCATGGGGGGACCCACGCTGGAGCAGTCGGTTCCTGAAGGACTGCACACGATGAAGGAGACCCATGCTGGAGCAGTTCATGAAGAACTGTAGCACATGGGAAGGACTCGCACTGAAGAAGTCATGAAGGACTGTCTCCCGTGAGAGGGACCCCACATTGGAGCAGGGGAAGCGTGTGAGGAGTCCTCCCCCTGAGGAGGAAGGAGCGGCAGAAAACAGCAGCAACCCCCATTCCCTGTTCCCCTGTGCCGCTTGCGGGGAGGAGGGAGAGAAATTGGCAGTAAAGTTAAGACCAGGAAAGAAAGGAGGGGTGGGGGAAGGTGTTTTAAGATTTGGGGTTTATTTCTCATTACTCCTCTGTGATTTGATTGGTAATAAATTACATTTTTTCCCAAGTCAAGTATCTTTTGCCCGTGACGGTAAATACTGAGTGATCTCCCTGTCGTTATCTCAACCCATGAGCCTGTTGTTGTATTTTTTGTCTCTCCCCTGTCCTGTTGAGGAGGGGGAGGGATAGAGTGGCTTTGGTGGGCATCTGGCATCCAACCAAGGTCAAACCCACCACAGTAGGATAATAAGAAATAAGAACAAATCTTTAAAAAACACCTTCCCCCCACCCCTCTCATCTTCACAGGCTCAACTTCACTCCCAGCTTCTCTACCTCCTCTCCTCAGTGGCACAGGGGGATGGATAATGGGGGTTGTGGTCAGTTCATCACATGTTGTCTCTGCAGCTCCTTCCTTCTTATACTCTTCCCCTGCTCCAGCATGGGGTCCTTCCCACAGGAGAGAGACCTTCATGAACTTCTCCAATGTGGGTCTTCCCATGGGCTGCAGTTCTTCATTAACTGCTCCAGCTTGGGTCCTCTCCATGAGGTGCAGTCCTTCAGGAGCAGAGTGCTCCAGCATGGGTCCCCTGTGGGATTACAGTCATGACAGAAAACCTGTTGCTGTGTGGACTTCTCTCTCCATGGGTCCACAGGTCCTGCCAGGAGCCTTCTCCAGCCCAAGCTTCCCAGGGGGTCACAGCCTCCTTCAGGTGAAGCCACCTGCTCTGGTGTGGGGTCCTACATGGGCTGCAGGTGGATATCTGCGCTATTTAACCTCCATGAGCTGCAGGGGGGCAGCCTGCCTCACCCTGGTCTTCATCATAGGCTGCAGGGCCTGCTCTGGTGCCTGGAGCACCTGCTCCCCCTCCTTCTTCACTGACCTTGGTATCTGCAGAGTTTTTGCTCTCACACATTCTCACTCCTCTTTTCAGCTGCAATTGTGCAGGTTTTTTCCACTTATTAAATCTGTTCCCCCAGAGGCGCTAGCACCATTGCTGATGGGCTTGGCCTCGGCCAGTGGCATGTTCATCTTGGAGCTGGCTGGCATTGGCTGTGTCAGATGTAGGGGAAGCTTCTGGCAACTTCTCACAGAATCCACCCCTGCAGCCCCACCCCTTACCAAAACCTTACCATCTAAACCCAGCACAATATTGTAGAAAATAGGTATTGAGATATTTACTGCATAATGAGAAATATTCTTTTAGTCCACTTGGAACAAACAAAACAAATCTGGTTTAAAGTGTCACTGAGTTTGAGGAAAATACCCAGCTTATGGAATGCTGCTTCCTTTGTGCAGCCTGTTAAGTGTAAAATCCAAGGAACCTCTGAGTGTCTTGCACTTTTGTTTTGTGTTTATGAAAACTTTAATTCCGCTAATATCAGCAAAGACTAACACTGATTTTAATGACAAGTCAGTAACTTTCAGCTATCTCCATTCATAAAGTTGAGGTTCCACTGCTTCCATTAAGGAATTTTACTATATCATTAAGGAATCTTATTACAATTTTTTGCAAGACCATTGCATGTTTCTTCCGTTTGCTGTGTGTTTGGCTTTCAAATGGTCTAGCTGATGCATACCATGTGACCAGGAACAAAATACAACTGGTGAAGAACATTTTGAAATAAGGTGGTAGGTAGGCATTCAAGTTTGCTACAATTACTTATCATTCCAAATTTACAGCATTGAGCTAGTTCTGTGATTTCTCAATAGATGATCGGTAGGAGAAATGCAGGACCAGGGGCAGGGGTAGTAGATTTGCACAAGATGAATTTATCTAGACATTAAAATGTAATGATGATGAAATACCTGTCATCTTTTCTTTTTTATCAGGTTTTATGGGCAGGATATTCGTGCTAGTGCCATCTTGCTTGGTGATGTGCCTTTTCCTGCTCAAGCAGAAGATCTTTATGAAACTCTAGCATCCTTCACTGAAGGATATGAAAATGAAGAGCAAAAAAATAATCCAGGAAAAGCTGTAAGAGATCAAAGAAGGGTTTGTGCACCTGTTTTTCATGTAGGCTTTTTCTGATCCTGAACTGTTCCTCGTCAGTGGTAACATTGATGTTCATGTGGCGCTGTTAACTTCCCTATTGGACACTTACAGGCGTAACACATTGTAGGTACTGCATGCTAGTAATACATTCATTCACGTATTGCCCTGGTAGGCTCTTCTGGACAAGAATGTTGCAGGTTAGGCTTTACATTCTCCAGAATAACAAAGTATATCCTTGTTTTTGTAATAATGAATAATCAAATCTGAGGTGATGATTGGAAAAGTTTGTTCAACAATATTCCTAATCAAGTTAATCTGCAAATAATGAGCATACCAGCTTTGATATGGATACTCTTCATTTTTCTACTTTTTCTGTCTTCTATTCAATCACGTTTACAACATAATACTAAGAACGTAGAAGATGTTTTCTTGTAGATGTTAATGTTATTAATAGACAATCATTTACTTTCCTGTTTATTAAACGCATGGTGAATTACTTTACAGTCATGTGTATGTCACTAGTTCTTTAGTGTGCTTCTCAAGTTCATGCAATTTCAGTGGAGAAGGGAGTGATTTATATTTTTTTTCAGTATAACTTGACATACTTCTAGGCTCTGAATTTACAATCTACTTGAAGGTTTGATGCAACATTTTGTAAAAAATTGCAATTTTAGGTAAACGATCCTCCTGCTAGACCATCATTGAGACCAGAGCCACCTAAACCCACTGTCAGACCAACACCACCAGGTTAAGAACATTTTGATAATGATTAATTTATTCTCTATGTAAAATTAGAGCATTAAAGCTAATGAATATTATACAATTATTGTAGTAGTAGCTGTGTCTATAAAAATATTTTGTTAATACTCTTCCTTGGGCAAACACTGAAAGCCTGTTGGGATAGTGCCATGAGCAATAAATAGTAAAGGTTTTGTTTGTTTGTTTTATGTTAACAAACCTTTTTCTCTCTGACAGATTTGCTATAGAAATAGTGTTTGTATAGTTACAGAAGCATCTAATGTTTATTGGATCTGTAGAAGCCCCATGGTACAATGAAACTTCTTAGTAAAAAGAACAGTCGTACTAGAAACTGGTAGTCCTACTTCTAGAAACTTCTGGTTTCTAGAAAACGTAGTTTGGTTGTCACTATCTTTTAATAGGTAGAGGTCTTACAGTAGAGCAGAGGAGGCAGAGTTTTGGCTCTATAGCAGTTTGTCTACCAAAGTGCTCTCACTGAAAGTGAGGCTTTACTGTGCAGCTCCTGTTGTTAACTTGATTTATTTCTCTGGACAAGGATGTAAGGCGAAGCCCTTACTACTTTTTTCTGTACCACATCTTAGATAACTGCAATTATTTTATAACTATTGAACAAGTATTAGAAAAGCAGTATATGAAATATAACAATATATGTTAGTATATCATATAACTTGCTACTTTATTTTCTCTTTCAGCTAAAAAGAATACAAACAAACTTTATCCTGATCTTCCAAATGATTATGCCTCTGTGGGTAAGTACTAAGCTTACACATACTCAGTGTGGAATCTGAGAAGTCCTAAAAGTACTGTGGAAGACATCTAACAATATCTGACCATACACATTTTTCTTTATTGTCCATGTGTTTGATGCAAACCAAATGAGATTCAGGACACGTATGTTCTCCTGAAAATATTTCATAAATGTGAATCTTATTCCCCGACTTTACATTCCAAGAAAGATGTTCTTTTTCTGAACAGCAAAAGTTCTTTTGCATTATTGAAAAATGCACTGAAAGTAGTAAAACTCTTTTACGTTACCACCTAAATGAAGTGAAAAAGAAAACTGATCCGACAACTTTCTGTCCGAATCCTTATGCAAGGTACTATAACTCCTGTTTTAATTAAACAGTGCTTCCACGGGTCATATCTGATTATGCTGGCATAAACACAGATTTTCATTGCAGTTATACTCCTTGAAGTTTTTGTACTGAGTTAAGGTAACTCTGTGTTATGCTACAAGATATCACTTGTTCCTTGTTCTGTTCCGATTCTTTTAAGTTTAAAGCAGTTTCAGCTCTAATAGGAGCTGAACTACTTACTATGTAGTAGTTGCAATGTAACTCTTGAACTGTGGGACCCATCATCTGGAAACTTGTGATCTGTTAGGAAAAAATTTTATTATAAAAGTGTTTATGTTCATTTGGCTTCTGCAGTGTTGTCTGCCACCAGGAGTCTCATTTTTCACGGGTAAAAAGACTGTTAGCTGTTTCAAAGTCAGTGAAGTCAATTATTTCTCCCATGAAATATATCATCCATTTGATAAATAGATGTTTTAGTGGTCTCTGCTAGGATCAAAACTAAGACCAAAGTGTTCCATAATGCCTGTGTATATGTCTATAAATATATATATATGTGAATATGTACACACGTTTTCACATATTGCATGCACCACCTTAAAACAAAACAAAAGATCTCTTTTTTACTTTTTAAAATGGTGCTAAAATCAAGCTTGGTAATAGATCACAGCGAAGAGTCTATTTCAGGCAGAGTACTGTGATTTATCACGGTATTTAAACTCCATTGTCTGAAGGCCAAGATCATGATTGTGTTTTTAATTTCTTCGTTCTTGTAATTAGAGATTTTCACTACAAATTAAGATAAATTATATATGTCACTGTCTTTACATTCGCCTTCATATCTTCTCTCCATATGTGCTGTCGACATCTGTGTCTGTTGAGGAGATCAACATAGGAGGATCTTAAGCTGAGTTGTTGATGTGACTTCTGCAAATCAGAGACTTCTTGAGAATCAAAATTTGCTGTTGTACTGTAGGACTTTTAAGGACTTTTACCAAGAAAAGAATGGTGACTCTAGTGGTCTGTACTTAGTAGCTGTCCTCTAAAAAGGAAAAAAAAAATTGGTCTTCTGGCCGTTAAAACTGAACTTTTCCAGTCTTAAAAAAAACCCTGACCAACAGAGGTTTCTAAAATAGCAGGAAAAACTTGCACATATGTTTGCTATGTTAAAGGGAGTGTTCTTCCATTCAGCTACAAGTGACAAGGTCCAAATCTTACAGAGCCATCTGTTGATGGCTTCCAAGATTCTTCGAAATCAAAATGTAGACTCAGTCACTCTGCTACTGAGGATTCCTAACGATTTCTAGCAATACAAAGCTCATCTTTGAGGAGTGCAAGAGGCAATAGGATCTTGTGTAAATGACACTTCCTGCAAGAAATGTTGTCTCATGGTAAATTTTTGTTTACCTTACAGGCTTAGCATGGTATATTTTGCTTTCTATTGCAGATTGTATTTCCATAGGTTACGGTTCAAATGCTGTCTGAATCCACAGAAGTACTATATGTTTCTAAAGCCTAAAGAATATAATCACAGGGAAAACGAAGGCTAAAGTCAGTTCCCCTGAGCGTCTCAATACCCTAGCCTATGTGCATGTTGGTGGGAGACTGGAAAAGAGTTGCAGTCCCTTTCACATTAGTAATAAAGGGAGTATTAATGCTGGTTGATGGAATAGAAGGAGTCTTAAGGCCGTACCTCCTGTCAATAATCTCTTCCTGCCTCTTTAAAGTCCAGATGATTTCAACAGAGCTGCCTAGCAGCTATAGCTCACGCTAGCCAATCTTTATTGCAGGATTAGTTGCTGGAATGGATGTTCTACAGTGATCTGAAAAAAATGTTCAACATTTTTTGCGTCTTTCTAGTTTAAAATAAAAAGAAAATAAAACTTTTTTAGATAACTAATAGAAGAGTGCATGAAACTAATCTTTGGGAAGCTACATGTTAGGTGTAATGGCTGGTGCAGGGATAGGTTGTGATGTTGAGCAGCAAACTTGTCTGGCTTGTCAGTAGGAAGGACTTGCTTTTGGGTGGGGAGGGGGCAGTTGGCATTGTGTTACGAGGCTTTGGTTTTGTAACAGTTAAAAAAGTAGCAGAAAGGTTGAAACATTAATTCTCATCAAATGGAAGAAGAGCTAAACTTGTGGATGAAACGTTTTTAATTATTTTGTGTGGTCTTGAATTATCTAAATAGGTAATGTAATATAACCTATTTCAAATGCAAGAAGAATATTAAATGAAAAACATGTTTTTCTAGACTGATAATGTGATACTTGAACTCAGATGCAAGTACATTGTTTTCATGTAACTGAATAATACTTAAGGTAATGCATTTAGTTGTAAAACAAGGTTCAATAATGTTTTAAAATGTTTCCAGAAACTTGGAAATACCACAGATTTTATTTTAAAAAGGTAATAATATGTAGAGACCTTTTACAATTCTGGGGAAAAAAACCCTAATGGCTGATACAGTTATTGTGATTCAGTGAATTATGAAGTTTTTACAGTAGTAGAGATTTTTCTGGAGACTGTTCAGATAAAGAAATTAGATTTGCTTATTAGTATGAAAGTTCATGCCTCCTCCCTTACTAGAATTAGGTCTTTGCATCTTCATTTTTCTACTTGCCCCCTCTGTGTTGTACAATCTAATAAAAGGGATGACTGGTCTTCCCAAGCTTTATTACCATGATGTAGCTTTACTTTATCTGAATAGAAGGTTTCTGCAGAGTTCTGTACCACATCTGTAACATAAATGATCTGTGATTCTGTAGTGGACAACTTGGGCATTTTAGACTCAGGAGAAGTTTATTTTATTAGGACAATTTTTTTAGATACATTAGGTTGATAGTTTGTCACACTGGAATATCTAATCCTGGAGATTAGTTTTTCATTAGTATTGTGATTACTGGTTATTTCTGCTTGGGCTTCTGCCATGGAGCAGCAGGTAACCAAAAATGTAGATAAATGGTTACTTGACTTACCTGTCTATCCTAACAGTTTGCTGAATATGTACAATTCTGAAAATGTTTCAGTGATGTGGTTTCCTAGCTGAACTGGCAGCAGCAAGAGTGGTGATCTGCTTGTAAAAGCAGGGAGCTAGGTTAAAGCAAATGTTGGTGAGAAGTGAATCGTTAACACGCAATTTGTTCAGAATTAGAAGTCAGGTATTTTTTCACTTTTTCTTCAGCTCAGCTAGTTAGAAAAGGATTGGTTCACGTGGTTGGAAAAGAATCACTTA